GGTTAACCGTCCCGACAGTGCGATCTTTTTACGTCTTTGCCTAGTTTGTTCCGATTTGAGAGTTTTGAAGTGCATGGACTTTTGTAAAAAAAATTTAACTAATTTTTTATGATAAAAATATCTTTAAAGTCGAAATATCATTTTTAAAAGTCATTTTTATTTTTGATCAAAACGTTGCACTTGAATGACTTTTAGTGCTCAAAAATTGTTTTTAATACATAGAAAGATTTTGAGTTTAACCATTCATTGCCAAATATCAAAGCTTTAGTACCTTTACAGTTTGCCTAAGAAATTAAGTCTTTGCTCCAAAGTTTAAACTTCTCGTCTCGATCTTTTGATGCTGTCTCTTATGTTTTTGATCTTGATCTTTCTTGACATTTATTTTTTAAGCTTTTGTTTCGAATGATTTGACTTGAATGCTTAGCTTCCACTTTGATCTTTATTTGAAGTCCGATAATACTTGATTAATTTGAATATTGAGCTACCATCACTTAAAAGAATTTGTTAGAAATAAAATTAATCTTGTTTGTTATGATCAAAACATTGAAGATGAGGTCGACCATATATCAACAAAAATTAGCATTCTTGCTTGGTAAAATGCATAAACCTTGAAAGAAAGCTAACAGAGTGCACTATATCTGGCCTTGATGCTGCCAGATAAATCAAACAACCAACCAATCTATATAGAAGCCTTCATCAACTGCTTCAGCTCCTTCTTCTGATTAGAACTTCTCATTTTTAAGCCAGTGGAGTGTCTATGGGCTTGCATTCCTCCATTTTGGATTTTCTTAACACTTCTTTAGCATACTTCTCCTAACTAATACAAATTTCATTTTTTTGATTGTTAGATTTCCATTCCAAGAAAAAAAGACATCTCACTATGGTTTGTCATCTCAAATACAGCCATTATTTGCTCGTTAAACACCTTGACAAGCTCTACATTGCTTCATGTCACTAGCAAATTATTCACATAAAATGAGATATTTTTCTGCTTTAACATGTAAATTATTCTCACTTAGGCTTCTATTAAAACCAATGCTCAATAAGAGCTCACCAATTCTTTCATACCAGGCACTTAGGGCTTGTTTTAGCTCATATAGAGCCTTTTAAGAAAATAAACCTTGCTAAGATCATCGACAAATTGCTCAGGTTGTTCAACAAAAAGTTCTTTTGCAAATAACGATTTAGGAATGCAGATCTGACATTTAGATGATAAATTTTACACTGTTATTATGCTGCAATTGCAAGAAGTAGACTTATCGTGTCCAACCTTACCACTGGTGCAAGGTTTCTGAAAAATCCACTACAAACTGCTGTGCATAGCCCTTCACCACCAGTCGAGCTTTGTGCTTGTTCACAGTTCCATCTGCATTCAGTTTTATCCTATAAACCCGCTTGATTCCTATTGCATTTTTGTGTAAAGGCCTATCTACAAGCTCCCAGGTCTGATTCTTATGAATCACCTTCATCTCCTCCTACATTTCAATGATCCATTTAGAATTCTTTGCTTCGTCATATCCAGGAGGTTCCAAAATTGCTACATTACATTTTTTATAATTGTCAGCAAGAGACATTGTCCCTCTCACGGTATCTCATCATTGTTGTCTTTATCAAGTTCGATTACTTCATTTCTTTTGTTGTTTGTCTCTTGGTTTTGCTTTTTCCCAATTTCATTATGCATCTTCATCAAATGTCACATCTTTGCTAATAATGAATTTTCCAGTCAGTGGTTGAAAGATTTTATATCCTTTAGTAGTTGTGTTGTATCCTAGAAAGGCTCTATATTCTGCCATTTCATCTAACTTTCCTTTCCTTGCATTTGGAATGAAAGTGAAGCACAAACAACGAAAAATTTTCAAATTTGACACATAAGGTTTAGTATCATACCATACTTCAAAAGGAGTTTTTGCCTTCAAGGTTCTTATTGAGCAAAAATACAGCAGTGTTAACTGCTTTCGCCCAAAACTTCTTTGGCATATGTTTCTTAAATAGAAAACACCTAGCCATCTCCATTATAGTTCTTTATTTCTTTTTACTTGCACCATTTTGCCAAAGGGAAGTATTTAACAGTAAATTGATGCTCAAACCCTACATCCTCACAACCGTTGCAAACATATTAGCTCTATACTCAGTTCCTTTGTCAGACCTTATTATCTTGATTTTGCAACTACTTTGGTTCTCAATCCAAACTTTGAATTTCCAAAAGACTGCTGCAACTTCTGATTTCTGCTTCATGAAATACACCCAACACATCCTGTTAAAATCATCAATGAACAAGATGAAATACCTATTTCCATTAAGTGACTCTGTCCTCATTGGTCTACATACATCAGTGTGGATAAGCTGTAGTCTCTAAGTTACTCTCCAAGCCTGTTTAACTGGGAATGGTTGTCTAGCCTGTTTCTCTAGCTGGCATGCTTCACATACCTTGGAATTTATTTTTTTCTTACCATATTATCGATCTCTTAGTCTATAATGTTCTACTCTAGAATAAAGATTGAGGCTTCATTTTATATAGATCGCTCTCCAATGAATGTCATTCCTTTCATCACTTCTTCTTTCTGCATGAATTTCAATATATAATTATGAAAATGTCTTATTCTTCTATGCCATACTTGCCTTTGAGCAAGAATATGCACTGGATTCATTCTCCATCAAATCCAGGCTTAAACTCTTGCTTTTCATGCTGATAGATATGAAAACTGCACAATTGAAGTCATTAATTTCATATGTTTTATCTTTTAAAAATACTGAATAACCCTTTTTGAGAAGCTGCCCAACACTAATCAAGTTTTGATCTATTTCTAGTACGAAAAATAATTAGTTTTTTTTTTTTTTTTTTTTTTTTACTTGTAAAACCTGTTATAGCAACGGTTTCTTTTCCTTTTTGTTTGATCAGTTCGCTGTTGCGTATCCTGACCTTTGATTCTGATGACTTGTGCAGTTCTTGAAAGATGAATGCATCATTTGTCATGTGGTTGGTGTATCCATTATCAATAAGCCAAGCACCATCGGGACTAGTTCTAATAAAGTAGGTAGCCGCAAGTAGTTGCTCATCCTATTGTTGATGCATCATTTGTACTGAGCCGGTTGTCCCCCCTCCCCGTTTGCATTTTTTTTTTTTTTACAAACTTTTTCTTCGTGCCCCATCTTCTTCCATGATTTGCACTCGATGTACAGTCTAAACTAAAAATACTTTTGTTGATGTGAGGTCTTTTTGCAATGCAGACATGGTGAATACCTACCTCTACTGCCTCCGTTATTATTTCTACCTTCTCTCTTTTAATTTCTATTCCATTGCCTTTTATCCTTATTTTCTTGTTTCTAATCATCATCTTTCATCTGAAAAGCTCTTCTTTGCTCCTGAGCTTGCAACCCATTAATCAATGCTCCCAAGGTGATTGTTGACAGATCCCTGGACTCTTCAAGTGATGAAATCTTGGCCTCAAAATGTTCAAGAAAAGTTGCCAAGATTTCTCCACAACTCTTCTGTTAGGAAGCTTTTCTCCTAGAAACCTGATTTTATTGACTACCACCATCAATCTGTCAGTGTAGTCATTGATCTCTTCCGTTTCCTTGATTTTCTGCATCTCGAACTCCCTTCTTAAATTTATTTTCTTTGTTTTAGCGTTTCCTTGATATTCTTCTTTAAGAAGATCCCACGCTTGTTTAGCTGTTTCATAAGCAATAATCTTTGTAAAAATTGAATCTGACACTGTTGAATGAATGCATGTCTTGGCTTTGCACCTCCTTGTTTTTTCATCTCCTTGGTTTCTAATTTGTGCAGTGATTGGATCTTCATGTGCTGGTAATTCTTCTGTCTACCAAATTCCAAATATTATTTGCTTATGCCTCCATTTTCACAACGCAAATGCGATAGTTTTCATTGATGAAAACTAGAGGTTTTGTCATGTAATTTTTTTAGCCATATTTGATTCACTCCTCACAAGTCCCTTAAGAAGTTAGGCTCTAATACCAATTTGTATATTACTTTGGCAGAAAGTGAATACAAATATAAATGGCCTGAGAAACTGATAATTCCTTTATTAACTTTTTTCATGTATTTACACAAGAAATGGTAACAAACTTCGACAGAAAATCTCAAAAAGTATGTAAGAAAAATTCAAATATATAACAGATTTATTTTGTTTTTGTTATTCCAGATAAATATCCAGCAATTCCAACTAATTTCAAATTTTGATTTTCTGAAGTAAATATAGCATATTTCAACAAGTCATTTACATTTATCAGAAAATCAAGCTCTGTAAAGCAGTCTTTATGTAAATGCATATTAGAGTTGAATTCAAGATCTAAAAAGAGTCCAAATGTACTGTTACACTCTGGTTTGGAGGAAATAGCTACTACAAGCATCCAAAAACACAACAAACCAAGCAACACACTAAAACTGAAATCAACAGCATCAACTATATTCGATTCGAAAATCGAATTTGTGATGGTTAGAAGCTCCCTTAATCACACATAACTCTACAAGGAAAACAAAAATAGAAAGATCAATAATAAAAGCTAAAATTTGGAAAAAGTCGTCGAATATAGACCTTTCGCAAGGTTTGATTGTGCTATATGTACATCATAACTTGCAAATTGTTTATCGACGGATGAAATGGCAAAGTTTTATTGGGTTAAAATCTTATCAGCCACCTTTTTTTACATTTCATCAATCAGTAAAAGATTATGTAAATAGTGATGTACAAGAAATCTTTTTCTGGCAAGGTCTAAATAAGACTCGAGGATCTAGACCAAACTTACTCTCGTTTGTCGGTGGTGTCATCAACTGCATTGAGGATCGACCAAGCCATACCAGCCACCAGCGGGATCGAATAGTGGGGCCGCTGCCTGTTCTTGGTTCCTCTTGTTGATTAGCTTCTGCAACTGCACTACCCTTTTTTCCATCCCTATTCATATGCATTGCTATTTCCTCACTTCATATCAAGAATCAAACCCTAGATCAATTATTATGCAATTTTTTGGCTACACTTTGAAGTTTGATTTTGATTTTGATTTTTTTTTTTTTTTTAACTTTTTTTAATAATTAACAATACTCTTCCTTGAAGTTTAACTTGCATTATACGGACAGAAAATTTGAGATTATTGTTGATAACTTTTGCTGAAGAAGACGACAAATTGATTAAAAGATTAAAGTTGATATCTTCGATAATCAGTTAGCTTAATTAAGATTAGGGTAAATTGCTAATTTTGGTCCCAAGAAACATTAGGCAGACTCCCAAAATTTATCGACTCGGCAATTACCGATTTCTTCACCCCTTTGTGAAACTGATAGGAAAATGCAGCTTCTCTCAGCGACGCCAAGTTGCGCTAAGAGTTGCTCCCTGTCGCCACCGGTTCATCCTTCCTCCCAACTACTTCCGTGTCTCTGCGTGGTTAATCTTTCAATCTTCATAGAATTCTGCAACCTGAGTAATTTTTGTAATTTTGTAGCTATTTTGGCAAAAGATGGATAGGAGCGGAGAAGGATATAAGTCCGTGGACAAAACGCAGAATGAAGAGAGGAAGTTCCTGAAATGCTTGGTGCCACCACTCATGGCTGCAATTGTAGCATTATCTCCTCTCTGCAACACCCCAGGTACGTGGGGGAAATTTACTGTCATGAACAAAATTGATTGGGGGAATTGAATTACGAGCTCCAAACTTGATTTCTGAGCTCCATGCACTATCTTACTGAGCCCAAACATCAATGTTTCGAGGGCATTTATCAATTCCAACCTTGAAACACACAATGAAATTGAAAATAATTATTAGGAAAAAGGGGGGGGGGGGGGGATTGGTTTCCAGGCTACAGTTCTGGAATTTAACTTGAGATTGCAATTTTAAACTTTAGAGTGGAATTACAAATACGAAATTCTTATGAAACTTCCAAGAATTCTAGTTGATGGAGTGTTGATAACTGTATTGCTATAAGATCATGCGTTTGAGCTGCTAGTTTCTTAGAAGCGTTACTGAATTATAGGACTTTAGCTGTCCTTTTCAAGTACAAATTCAGTGACCAGGATATCCAATTCTCTAGTTATCTTTGAACTGTTGATTATCCGAGAGAACTAGTTTCCTGTAAAATGAACTAGTGTTTTCCACAACCATTTTGAGTGAAATGATGGAAAATCTAGACATGATTCACAGATAACCGAACAAGTGTGTCTTGAATTTTGAACCTTCGACTCTCACACCCTTGCACCTTAACCTTGATGTATTTTCAGTCCACGAAGCCCGTGTTGCTCGTAAATCGGGTTTTTACTTGTTTCAACGTCAATCCTGTGCAGCAGACAGGATAGGTATAAAAGTGTTTTGAGTGACATGATTGTGAATAATATATTGAAACGATCAAGCGGATAACTTGATCAGCCTTTTCAACATAGTTATTGAGGAAGACCTGCCAAGTATCCTGAGGAAAGCTGATGTATAAAAATTTGCAAGATCCCTTGCACGTTTACCCAGGTTGTGCTTGGTGTACATAATTTTATGTATATAAAGGTGTTGGGCCCCACGCCCATGTACATAAAATTATGTACAAGTAGATTTATCATTTCCTCAAATCCCTTGGCGCAAAGATTACCAATTTCCAAAACAAATTTATGAAGATAGATCCAAACTACCTGTAAAAGGAAGGATCATTTATTTGTTAAACTATGATATTTTACATTTTCACTCACCTGTAGAATATAATCTCTTATTAGTAAGTGGAAGAAGAGCTTAGTTATATTGCATATGCTATATGACATTTTACTTGGGTAAAATTGATAGAATATTCTGTATTATTTTAGCTGGAAAAGTCTCAACTATTCAGTGCTCTTTTTATTGGCCAACCAATGATATGTCGATTCTGTTGTCTATCAATCAACTAGCTCTATTAGAAATTTTAAGTTCTCAATTCATAGAAGTTCTAGTACAAAGCGTAATTTATCTTTATATGGTTGGTGGGATAACTCTTTCTGATGTAGAATGAATAATAAAGAAAGAAGAAAGAACGGGGAGGAGAAACAGAGAGAAGGGAGAAGAGAAGAAGAAACCAGGGGAAGAGAGGGGAGGAAGAAAACGGCTGCAAGCCAAACAATATTTCAATTCTAATTCATCATCAACTAAAAATTACAATGCAAAATATGTTTAAATAGTAAAGCAACACTAACGGGCTTGTGCCCAAACCCATACAAGTCCAAATTTAAATAATAGTCCAAGAAAATAAATAAAGCTTAAATAAAATAAGTAAACGTCGTCCGATGTCCTCATCAACTCTCCCGGGGTGGGAGAAAACTCGACCCTGTCGAGTGGATAGATAGTATAGGCTGCAGTCAATCTGATACTCCAAATGCTTCAAGTCAAGCCACGGGGGACGATCTTTTTGAAGAACCAAATATCTGAACTCCACGGTTGATAACAATGCAAATGGCAACTTGTCCTCAAGAATAGATCCGACCAAGGCGGACGATCCCTCATTTTAATCAAGTACCGACATTGGACTCCAAATAACAAGTACTCCTGCAACTCAGCTCCAAAATCTTCACATGATTGCGCATAATGTGGAGCACAATAAGAACGTTGATCTACTCAACAATTAAAGAAGCACCGATTCTCTCCATCAATGGTTAACACAACATGTTCATCTAAAATTACATCAATTTTATCTTTATGTGCTGTGATAGGTGGGATTGAAGCAGACATGGCAAAAGATTCAGTGTGGGAATTCTCATGTGGGAGTAGAAACGGGTCATCAGAGGGGCTAAAATAGCCGTTGCAAGCATCGAAGTCCGTAACAAATAAAATAGGGTGGTGGTCATAATGTGATAAAAGGTCATTGACATAGGCATTTTGACCAACATGCTTTGAAATTTCAAAAAGACCAGCATTACACGCTTGCAATATAACATAATCTCCAATATTAAATTCAAAGTATTGTTTATGCCAATCAACTTGAGGTTTATATAATGCTTTACTTGCTTCAAATTGTTTATTGATCTCAATATGCAAACTATGAAAATGTGATACAACTACCTCAACTAACATAGACACACAAGCATGTGGGTGCATGAGAATAAGGTGTAGAGGTTTCAAAGATTCACAACCAAGAATAATTTCAAAGGGTTTTAGACCTAAAGACCAGTTCACAGGATCGTTATATGTAATTTGAACAGTTGGAGGGATCAAGTCCCAATTTCCAAGATTTTTCTAGACTAGAGACTGTAATAAATTGTCAGGATTTTGGTTAGCACTTTTGTTTTGACCATCAATTTGAGGTTGGTCAGTGGTGGATAATTTTGCCTTAGTGTTAACCACAGGCGACTGCATTTTCCAAAGGTGACTGGTGACATCATCAAGCTCTTTAACTTGGGTAAGGGTATGACATATAACATGTGATCGAGAATTGTCGGAGATAAGGGGTATAGTATCCAAAGTCTCGAGAAGAGTCTGGATTCCACCTAAGGAAGTATCCTCACTATCATCCAAGTCATCAAAATCTTCAAGTTTAGGTTCATAGACTAGATCTTCTAACGGCTCCTCTATTACATTCTTTCGTTCTTCCATGACTAAGGTTCGATTAGGACATTTAGAAGAAATGTGACCAAAGTCTTTACAGTTGACGCACAACAAGTGAGAAGAAGACCTTGGAATTTCAGAAATTCTACCTTGATTTTTCAAGATTGGAGAACCATTAGAAGGGGGAGGTCCTAGAAGGGATTTAAAGGGAGGAGGTGGAGCCAATGAAGCCAAATGATGATTATCAAAAATTTTACCCTTATTTTTCAAAATTGGAGGAACATCAGACGGGGAAGGTCCTAGAAGAGACTTAACGGGAGGAATTGGAGCCAATGACACCGAAGGATGATTGTCAATATGCTTTCTACATGAAAAAGAAGATATTGGACTATCACGACCTTTACAATTATTTTTCCAAATAGGAGGAACATTAGACGGAGACGGTTTTATGATAGACTTATGATGAGGCGACGCTAATGAGATGGGTGAGCGACGATGACCACGCTTTTCATATGGAGTATTAATAATCAACTCATAATCTCGAGCTAAAGAGTAAGTGTGATCAAGAGTAGTGACACCTCGAAGGAAAAGCTCGCGCTTAAGATCATTTCTCAGACCTTGGCTAAACCTACTCAAAGTCGTGCTCTCATCCTCAATTAAATGACATTTGGTTCGAAATTCCTCAAATTGTACGATATACTCAGTCACTAATTGATTTCCTTGTTTAAGGGCATTCCATTGAGTAAGAATTTCAAAATTATCTCGTTCTTGCTTACGAATTTGATCCCTATTCCTATCCTTATCCTTACGATCGGGTCGAAAGTATTTTTGATTACTTTATCGACGATGTTGTCTATTATGGGACACCTTAGAATTATCAACATCAATCGAATGAGGGATGTGTTTAAAATTTTTCAAACTAATAGATAGGGACTTACTCTCTTCAAGAGTAGCGGTCATTTGAGTTTGAATAGCCGCTATTTGTCGGGTGAGTGCATCCAATTGTGAGGGGTTCATGTTTAAGGTACTAGAGCTAGAAGTGACAAGATGACCAATATGTAACTACATGCACTGTAATAGCAACTTAATGACATACAATAGAGAGATCAACGAACAAAAAGTGCAAGTAATGGAAAATGAAAATTTGAGCTTTTTTTTTTAAATTTAAATTTTGGGACTAAAATTATATACAACAAGCTAGTACTGCTGGTATATGTAAAATAATAAAGCAACGGTTAAATACTAGTCAAAATCTAATCACGTAAAATAAGCAGGTTAAAGTGAGATTTAACGAGGTCAATGGATCCAATTACGTGAGTTTAGATAAAAATAGATCAGTAGCAGCACAAAAATTTAATTGATGCAATTTCAAAATGAAACAGTAATATAAACCAGCAATAAATAAAAGCAAGAACTTCCCTTTCGTTCGTCGAAGTAGTCAAGCCAGATCAACCAGAATAAAAGATGTACATGTAAATAATAGAAAAGACGTTTCTTCTCTTCTTTTTTTTTTTCACTTTTTTTTTCCTTTTTCTATTTTTTTTTGGGAACTGTAGAAAACGATAAATAAAAAATAAAAAATAAAAAAAAAGAAATTTCGGGTGTGAACAGTACCCGTGAACAGTAACAATTTTTATTATTATTATTTTTTTGAAACTGCTGAAAAATCTAAAAAAAAAAAAACTGAAATTCCGGGTGTGAACAGTACCCCCGTGAACAGTGATTTTTTTTTTTTTTTGGCCTAATCAACTAGAAAAAAAATTGAACAAGAAAACTGCTGCCTCATAACAATTTTTTTTGTTTGTGCTGTTCCACAAGTTTTTGGGAAGAGGATAGGAAGAAAGTTTTGGATTGTGGGTGAAAAATTTAATCAAGTTTTGGCTCTGATACCACTTTGATGTAGAATGAATAATAAAGAAAGAAGAAAGAACGGGGAGGAGAAACAGAGAGAAGGGAGAAGAGAAGAAGAAACCAGGGGAAGAGAGGGGAGGGAGAAAACGGCTGCAAGCCAAACAATATTTCAATTCTAATTCATCATCAACTAAAAATTACAATGCAAAATATGTTTAAATAGTAAAGCAACCCTAACGAGTTTGGGTCCAAATTCATACAAGTCCAAATTTAAATAATAGTCCAAGAAAATAAATAAAGCTTAAATAAAATAAGTAAACGTCGTCCGATGTCCTCATCACTTTCTCCCTTGCCTTGGGACCAAATTGGTTATTGAACTCAAATGATGCAGTATCACTTGGCCAAACAATGGATGCTCAAAAAGGAGCCACCTTGTTTCGTCGGGCTTGCATTGGATGCCATGACGGTGGAGGAAACATTATACAGCCTGTGAGTTCACCTGCTATTAGGTTACACACAGTCATCTAAAATCTGAGATCGAACTTTGCATGTCTTTAACTCAATCATCTTTCAGGGGGCGACGCTCTTCTTGAAAGATCTAGAAAGGTGAATTACATATTCAATGTTGAAATTTGCCATAATCATTTTTATGGCCATTTTTCTAACATTTATATTCTTATCATGATCACAAAAAAGAAAATGACAACCACTATGGTTTCTTTGTGGTGCAGAAATGGAGTTGATAAAGAAGAGGAAATATACCGAGTAACATACTACGGAAAGGGGAGAATGCCAGTAAGTTTCTTATTTTTTAATAATGAAAAGCTTATATGTAGTGTGGACCTAGGATGAACACAAAACATCCTGTTTCTGCAGGGTTTTGGTGAGAATTGCACTCCTAGAGGTCAATGCACATTTGGACCTCGATTACAAGAAGATGAGATTAAACTTTTGGCTGAATTTGTGAAGTCACAAGCTGATAGAGGATGGCCTTCTATAGAAACTGATGGAGAATAGTATTCTCAACACAGAAAGGCTGGTTTGTGGAACACCGTGCTAAATAAATTTCCATCTCTGAACTCAGTTGCCATAGGTATGTGGTCTAATTAGGATTGAAATTGATGGATGGGATGATTTGTTTGTATATCCTTTGAGACTGGCTTTTCATTTAGCCGTTTAATTTTAATTGTATTATTGTGTTTTCTACTGCTAAAAGAGGTGCAGTGCCAGATGTGAGGAATCTATTCTGCACTATAACAAGTATATAAATATTTTACATGGGGTATTTCCAAAAGATTGAAATTACTTTTTGAAATAAAAATTGAAACTTTTAATTTTCTGTATGTTACCAATTCACCTGGTTCTAAATCTTTTTAATTGTATTATTGAGTATTCATGGTGCATGGCTTGGATAGAAATCATATTTGAAGACTTGTTATGAAAATTGAAGGTTGAGAATATTGAACCACCTCATCTGAAAGTATAACTTATCTTCAACACACCTCATGCCAAATATTTGTGTACAAGATTCAAACTTGGCTTTCAACTTTCAGGTGGCCTCATGAAGCATCAATGTAATAACATATATGTCATAGCATTCATTCATGTGGTCGGTCTCTCACTTTATCTCAAAAGAATTAACTCAAAGATCGAGTGGATGATTATTCTTACTACAAGAATTACTTTTATGAAAGCACATGTCCCATTGTGGCAGCATGTTCATTGAGAATGTCTGAATGTTGTGGTTCTTATTAAGACCTGGAATTCTATCTTAAAACGTTAACCTTCTTAAGAAAGAGAGTTAGCTTAGGTCCTTTGTTAGTTTATGTTTTCTTCTTTATTCACCGTGGGATTTATCCCTTCACAGATCTCAGGATTTTGGCAGGATGACCACCTTTTGCCAATAGCCCTCTCTACAATTGGCCGCCACCATTGAACTCATACAGCGAAAATTCTATTTCTCCTACGTTCTGATGAGCTTTATTTTCAGTTCTTCTGCTGGGATTTCTATCTGTCTTCTTGGCTTTACCTTAAATTTACTATGTTTTCTTGTGTGCTTCCATCGGGTAAAGTGAGGTTAATATTCACAGGAACTTCAAATCCATATGCAGGATTTTTCAGCATCACAACAAATAGGTCTTCATACATAATTTCCGGTGAAAAGTTAATCAGTCCGGCTACAAGAAAGCATTGATTAATAGCTCAACGATATTAGAAAGGAGATGATTATGAAGGGTTGTGTATTTATTTATTTATTTTTATTTTTATTTTATCTTATTTTATTTTTTGTCTCTTCAAAAAAATTAATTAATCAGATGAATTTGAAGACTATGGCCCTATATGGTGTAGCTTAAAAAGTTGATAAAAATTTTAAGTCAAAATTAACAATTAATTTTAATAACATATTTTATGGAATTTACAATTTTAACCAATTTTTTAACCACATATGTTATCAATTTTCATCATAATTTACCAAAAAAATTGATTTTATTCAAGCAAGTGATTTTGACTATAGGAAAAGAAAGATTGCTGCGTCAATATTACCGAAGGGTGTGCAGCTCAAATATTCACACAAAAAATAAAAATAAAAAAAGTTCATATTCCCACAACTCTCTCTCTCTCTCTCTCTCTCTCTCTCTCTCTCTCTCTCTCTCTCAAGTATTCTTGAGTGTTTGGCAGCCACCTATATTGCTCTTTATCTTCGAGAGCTATTATAGAAAGCATCTAAAAGTTTAGAGAGTAAAAAATTTTGTGCATTCCACCAATGTTCTCTATTTTGGCTTTTCATTTTACATTTTTTCAAGAAATACATAATTTTTTATGTCATTGACCAATAAATTTAAATGTGTTTTGTATAGTTTAAATAGTAGAATATTAAAATATGCGACTTCTTAAATGCATTCATTCGTACATTAAGAATAGAGAATAAATTTGAACCCACTTTTTTATTTTAAAAAGTTAAAACAGAGTCTCATAGAGCTTACTTTTAAAAATTAACTCTTTAAAATAAATAGTGTTTTGTATTTAGAGAGTCGCTTCAAGCTATTCTTATACTTGTATTATTTGGTTCTAGAAGCCACTTCTAAGGAAACAAAAAGAAGGAAAAAAAGGTTAACCTAGTTATGCCTCGAGAACCAACCACAAATTGCAAGATCAAACTTAGAGCTTACCACCTTCGTATGTGCAATTGAAGAGTCTAGGCTCTCGTATTACTTGCAAAGAAAAGACGTTCCACAAAAAGGTTAACATATTAGTTGAAGTAGATCTATCCTTATAAGCTCATCATCTACACCGTGTGTACCCAAAGTAAGACTTTGTTCGTACTCTTCAATAAATTTATTATAATGCATTAAACCCACAAATTAAATAGCTTTTATTTATTTTTTGTCCTATTCTTTTTGGTAATAAGAAGAGAGGTGGTAATTGCTAGTGTATTATTCCTTTCGTGTTGTTGATTGTGACTAATTTTAGTTTTCACCGAAGCCGGTTACTGCCTTCCAGGCCAGCTACTGTGGTAAGGGACAAATGATCCACTTGATGAATGCCATCCCGATGACTATCACTATAGATAGTCATGGAACGCAATGAAGCAAGAGATAAGCAAATGGTATCTAAATGAACGTTTCGAGGCCGTCTACTACTACAATGTTAATGTAGAATGCCACATAAAACAGTGAATGCTACAGAATATCATTAATGTATGAATCTATAACACTGATAATTGTTCATTATCATGAAATCCAAGTAGCCAGATCTATTGGCAATGAGATAATGTACATCAGCAATCCATGATTAAGCGCCTAACCTCAATTTATTACTGTCTCAACTCTCTGAACCAATGTACACAGGACTATCTAGTTCTTCCATTCGTTCAGAGGCAAAAGTCTCATCTGTATCTGCTGATGGCAGGGAAGAAGGGGATACATCTGAATCTGAGATGACCTCATCATCTATAATGATGAGTTCATCATCAATCTCCGATGTATCTAAACCAGATGCCACAGTCAGAAACTTGTATTGAGTTTTGATACCCAATAAATCCCAAGTTATGATGTTAACGTGGGAATATATATTTCATAGGTATAGACCGATGAATAAAATAAGTACCAACAATCAAGTCCAAAGGCTTTACCCGACCCATTTATATCCCTCTTGGATGACTTTGAATCTTGGCTTGTTTAACTTTGTTGTTGGTCCAATTAAAAGCCTAACCTAACTCTATTTATATGGCTCTAACCCTAGCCATTTTGTAGCATGATTGTGAGAAAAATAGAAGGGAAAAATGTGGCCTTTGTGGAGAGAAAAGTGGCTACATTTGTGGTGCAAAAACCGGCTTCTTAGTGTCCAAAAAATCGGTGAATGAACTTTGTGTTTTGGCCTTCATTTCTTATCTTCTCCCTTGCTTTTGTGACTACAAATCATCACCGTTATCTTATCCTTTGTGGGAGAGATTGAGAAGCACCCGAGGTGAATATATTAGTTATGGATTGGAACCAGTTGGATTGGTGGTTGGTAGAGAAAGGTAACGTTGAATTGAGCTCGAAAAATACCGTTTTGACGATCCTTGGAACAAGCTTCCATGACAATTAGTATCAGAACTTCAAGGTGGTGGACAGAAAACTACCCAAAAACAACCTCTATTTCATGATTTTCGGCCAATCCAGAAAGCGTTTGGTGAAATTGAGACCACCGGCATGATGTGCAGGTGGAGGAGCACCAAGGTGACTAGCGCATGAGATTCTTCGGTGGTGCGTGTGGTAGTGCGTAAAGCACATGCATAGAGAAGGTTGGTGGCGTGTGAGCACGTGTGGAGATGAATCCCTAGGAGGTGTCTTCAAGCAATTTGTTCTTAACATCATTTCTGACATTTTGGTGTTGTTATTTTAGATTTTTACAGTGAAGTTTGGACGATTCTATTCTTCGCACGTTCGGGATTCGGTTGTGGTTGATTGGTTCCTGCGATTGCTGGAGACTTTAGAAAGAATAGTGGTGGTCCTAAAATGATAAATTCGTGTTTCTTGATCTTCAGACGTGGTCCTCTCGATATCTTACTTTTTGCCTTCTATTATCACATTTAAACTATTGTGTAGGTTAATTATTTATTTTTCATATTAGAAGTCATCGTGTGGGATGATATTAGATTTAGGGTTACCTTGAAGGGGGTAACCATTGCCTGGTATTAGATCTAGGAATTATCTATTAATTATTTGCCTTCTTTGTGAATTTGTTACAATTTTTCTACACCGTTAAAATTGCATGTGACCTTAGAAAAATTTGTCTAACTATTCTGTGTGAATTATATCTTTACTTTACCTATGGTCATTATTTGGTATTGTTAGCTTATGTAGGTTTAAGGCAAGTGTGAACAATAAAATATGTGTGAACAATAAAATATGTTTTAACTGTGGTAAATTTGGATATGGTGAGATAGATTGTCCTAAGAATGTTAATAAAAGGAAAGATAAGGAGAGATGTGAGGCGAATGTGGCTTTTGGGTCGAGTCATGACCCGGGTGAGATTTATTGAGATTAAACATAATTATTGCATGTGCATGTGTGTAATCCTTTCTGTACATGTGTGATTGCTTAATTCTGTTGCATGTTTGTATATTGCAGTTCAATGTGTTTGTTATGTACCTTTGCATGAATTGGAGACAATCTGATTACTTGGTGTAATTGTTTGCATGCACAGTGGGTTGGGTTGCATAAGCGGTAAGTTGTGTGTCTATTGGTGAGGTGGAGTATAGATGCCTAGGGATACAGTAATGGTTTGTATCGAGGATGTTGAATGTGAGAAATGCACTTCTATCACTTAGTTACTTGGAGACCTATTAATCACGTAGGTTGGGAGAAGTGATATGATGATCGAGGATTATCCCTTGGATTTAGGATCTCTTGTGGCTTACCAATTAGACATGGATTGAGTAATCAGTCTAATCGGCATGGTGAGCGATGAGAGGATGTATGTGTTCTCGAGGTGTAAGCAACACAGAATGGGATAAGATAAATGTGGTGAGATCTTTTTGCAGGGTTATTTATGCATTTGTTACTTATGCGTTGACCATTTGTTTGATTAACTGGGTGTTAATCTATTGTTCTTTGCGAACATGGGGTTTTTAAAAGATCTCTGTATTATCCTATATTATATTTTCATTGCATTATTACTTGTTGTTGATTACTGTTAATATTTGCTTCTATTTGGGTGTTCTTGACCCTAGCCTTGGTGAGTA